CGGATGGTGAAGGTGATCAGCTCGTGGTCGCTGTCACCCAGCTTCCCATCGATCACTAGGTCGCCGACTAGGTCATCCCCAGTAGCCAGTACCAGGTCGAGCAGCGACTGGTTCCAGACTGGTGCGCAGTAGTCTGTCACAGAGTACAAGATGGCAAAAGCTGACATCCTTAGGGTTGAAGCTCTTGCCCCCTACGATGACCCAGAAGCTTGTTAAGGAGGTTGTTGCATACCTTAACTTTCATTGCTGTCTTTTTCAAGTGTTCATGGTAGCTCAATGTCTGGTCTAACTTCATGCTCAGGGAGATGGGTTGTGTTTTGTGCCTCAGCCTCTGACCATTCCAGTAGCTGTTTAGCTCCTGGCCAGCATTAACATTGTGTAGATGGAAAATGCTGGAAATTGTCTTACTGATGCTTGGCTGGAGGCTCTAAATCTTGCAGCAGTCAGCCAGCTTTGTAATGACATTGTTCAGAGTGTGTTCTAGCTCATAGAAAGTCTGGACTTGGAGTCCATAGCAGATGTCATCAGCATAGATGAATGTCTGTGACTGGGTTTGTGGCAGGTTAGTGGTGTAAAAGTTGTACAAAATCAGAGCAAGCACAGATCCCTGAGGCAGTCCATTGGTCTGTCTTTTCCAAAGGCTTGTCTTCTCATCCATGTGCACCCTGAACCGTCTATTGCAAAGGAGCAGTTCAACAAGATAGGCACTTGCTATTTTTATGAGCTGACTGTGTGCCAAACAATACTGTATGCTGCTGTGAGGTCAAGGAAAACAGTACCCGTCTTGAGGTTCCTTTGAAAACCATTTAAAACCACCATTTATAAAGCAGCACGTGGGCCCACCTCACTGCGCCCGACCACCTTCCAGGCTTCAAGTGCCTTCTTGGGGGTGCCTCATGTCTGGCTGACCCCCTTCCTAGAGCACACCCACTAGCCTGGGGGTTCCACTGCCACCACCCAGGGCTGGGCTTGATTCTGGCACTCCGCACCCTGGGAAACACAGGCCTAGTAGCCCTCGAGGGTACTTGATTCACTTCAAGAACTTGGGATGCTTCCCTCAGTCGGAAGCACAAGTAGTGGTCTCCCTTAGTCAGCCGAACTAAGGGGACCCCAAGGCGTAATTTAGACCTACTCCCAATAAGTCTCCCACGCTAGGTACAAAGAACTTCATTGGTTACAAGGGGTAGAGTTGCAGTAGGGTACAGGGTAGAGCAATATCAGAGAAATCCCATAGAGCAAACTGGCATGGCTGGGTAGCCTTTGATCATGCCTCTGAGTTACTGCAAGCTATATATCTAGTTAGATCTCAGGTAGCTTACTCACAAGTATCATC